AAAATATTTTCCCACCAAAAAGGCAGGAAAATATTTTCATCAAAAATCCGGAAAATGCACACGTGTGGGAAAAATTTGGAAAATATTTTCCGTGAAAATTTCGCTTATCAAATAGCCAAAAAAGTGAAAAGTGGAAAATATTTTCCTACTTCTCCGAAAAATATGGCCTATCAAACACGGTCTTAGTCTCCCTTATTTTATTTTATTATTATTGATTTCTCTTTGAAATACAAACACACACAAACATACATAAACACGTATGTTGTGAATGTACTCGGGCAACAACGAGGAAGAATTTGACTTCGACAAATGTGATGTGATGTTGGTGAACCATCCTAACCTCACCAATTACCATTATCCCGATGTCACATACACCACCACCCACCACCATTTTGTCGTCGATCTAGACGAGATCAACACCACGAACCATCACCTCTTATCTCTACACTATTTCAAAGTAAATTAACCATCACTATTGTCAGATATCTTGTTCTCGATTTCCTTCAATTTCTTTTCCAGATTATGTAACTGCCTTTTAAGATTTTCTTGTTTATTGTCATTGCTTTAATGTTGTTGGTGGTGGTGGTGATGGCGAGTGGTGGTGATTACCGTTTTTGTTGTAGTTATTTATGGTGGTGAGATGGTGAGACGATTCCATTTGTTTCGATGGTAGTGGGAATGATAGTGAAGGTGGTTGTCGGTGGTGGTGATGGAATATATATGGTCGGCACGATAGTATTGACGGTATAAATCAAGGTTGACGATAGTGACAATGGTGGAAACAGGATGCAACGACAATGAGGGTGATTCTTATTTCATTAGTAATACTGATAGAAATAACAAGCAAAAATTACATGACACGTTGTAACACGCGTAACACAATCTATTACAAGAGCATATAATACAATGTATTATCCTATACATGATTGTATTTTGTTAGTAGTGGAGGATATGGAGCTAGTAGTGCTCTTTATTTTTAGGTGAAAGTGTGTAGAATTATTTTGTATTTAAATCTACAAGCACTCAATAAAGAAGACAGCGTGAAATATGTTTGCAAACCTATTGTTTGTATTTTGAGGTTATTGGTTAGAGTTTCCTCAAATTATCAAACTTTCCGTTTTTTCGTTTTATTTTGTTTTTCATTTTTTTTTTTCGTAACATATTCTTGATATATAATTAAAAAAATAAAAACAAAAAGTTTCCTCTGGTGTTAAATAGGCCACAAAATTGATTAGCCCCATTCTACATGAGGGAAATTAGGTTCCACGCGGCTTTTTGTTAAGAAATTGAAAAGTAAACTTTCGAAAAATTCATAGAAAAACTATGTTTTTCAATTCAAATTCATTTTAATTTTGTTGTTGTCTTCTCTTTTCTCTCCCTCTCTCTCCGCAGTTTGGTCTATTTTTCTCTTCGATCTTTTACTACCCATGAATATTCAATTTTGCCTCGATGATTAATTCTTAATAGCAATCCGACTTTGGTTTCAATCCATCTCCATAACCCCATTCTACCTTCAAATCTTTGTTTCGATCTTCAAGATTTGTTATTTGCCTGTAGAAATTCAACACTCTCTTATGAATTTTAGTATTATTGGTCACTAAAAAAGAATAAAGAGTAGAATTTATTCACAACATTCAAGTTGATCTAATGGATACTATTGACATTTTCACAAAGATGCCATCAAAATTGTTGCAAAAAATATTGGCAAATCCAGATTTTAGTGGATGCATATAATTATTGGGAGCTGTTTGATGATAAATAGATCTAGAAAATTGTTGTATTCAATAATTTTTGATCTATTCGTATTGTATAATGTAATTCTACATTTGCACAATAACACAATAAATGCTTGTTGAAAAGTGACATATGTCACTTTTTTAGGGTCTGTTTGGGTCATATTAAAATCTGATTTTAATTTAAGTCAAGTCAAACAATCAATATTAACCACATCTTTCATGGGTCCCACATCTTTTCAACGACACATTTCAAAAAATTCTATCACAATCCACTAAAAATCTAATTTTACTCCCCCATCAAACACCTTCTTAATTAAAAGGTCGAACATTGGTTGATGTTGTGCTAGATGAGAATTAAATTTTTAGAAGCATACAATGTTAAAACACAAAGCGTTTAAAATAAATTTTTGTTAAGCTAGACAATAATTAAATTATCTTAAAATTTTCTTATAAAGAAGTGACATGACTTATCACTTTTTTTTTTTCTTTTCCAAAAGTCACATTTTGCAATTACTTTTAACTGCAAAAGTAGAAGGAATTTGCGAAAATTATACACCTAATTTTGCAATATTTTCAATTTTTTACTGTTTTGTTATGTTAAATTTTTGAGTTTAAGGTTTGCCTCTCTTTCTAGGTTTCTTATAGTTTCAAGATTATTATATCGGCTTGGAAGGTGACGTAGCGTCTTTTTATACACAAAATTTTTTAACGACTCTGACTAAACTTTCAATTTGCTTATAAAAATTTCTTGAATTAATAATTAGGTGTTAATTAATTTATTTATTTATTTTTTTGTATTTTATGAATTAATATTCCATGATAGAGAAAGTGACATGATGTGTCACTCTTTAATTAAAATATCTTGCATTATGTAATTTTATTTTATATAGTATTTTTTTTACTTTCAAAATACTTTCATCTGATTTTTTTGAACCTGATTTTAGATATGAGCAACTTACAAAATACCCCTAAAATTAATTGTCATCTGAAAAAATCATATTAAAAGAATTTTGA